TGTTCCAGATATGTCCCACCAGGAGGAGGCCAAAAGGGAGAGCCAGGACACCCTGGAGGGACTTTGTTTCTCGGCTGGCCTGGGAGCGCCTTGGGATTCCCCCCAGAGGAGCTGGACCAAGTGGATGGAGAGAGGGACGTCTGAGCCTCCCTACTGAAGCTGCTAAGAGGGAGGGAGGGATGGAGTGAGGTTGGAGGTGGTTCATTGTAAACCTTTTAACCAGATCCACTGATTCTCCAGAAACAGATGAAGCTCTTCCTCAAACCCAACGATTTCAGCATCCCTGGATTTTATTTTAATCTCAATCCGTTTCAGATTATCCACTTCAGGATAATCTGGATATATTGGATATAAAAGCCTCAGATTCCTCCTCCTGATCAGAACTGATGGAACCAAACCTCCTCTGGATGAATGAGGCAGGAGGCTGATGTGGTCCAGCCTTTAATGAGTGACAGACAGCAGCAGCAGCAGCAGCAGGGGCCCTTCCAGCTCAGATTAACACCCAGTCCTGGTCCCCATCCAGAGGAAGAGGTGTCCAGGGTTCAGTCTCCTCCTTAAAGACTCTCTCTTTCTACACTGAATGGGTTCAGAAGCTAAGCTGGAGGAACAGAACCGGTCCAATGCTAACATAGGTGGAGCTTTAGGCTACATTAGCAAGCTAAGCTGCTGTTTGTTCGGCTTGTCTCGGTTTTATGGGATTGCTGTTTGGCTCGGGAAGAAAAACACAACAGAAGTAAATCCTTACAGGAGTTTTAGGCTCTCGCTTTACTGTATTTTAAGCAGTTAACCAGCTAACAGCCATAATTGGCTCAACACACAGCATTAGTAGTTTGTCCTCATTTTTTTCCTAAGCCGACACTGAAACCAAACACCGGGAGAGAGTTAAAAAGCTCCGGCCTTAACACCGCGGGTTCCTACCTTCCTGGATTCCCTCACTGCGAATATAAAGTCACCATGAGGTAGAAAATACTCACTGTTGTCCAACAGAGCTGGTGCCTTGCTTATGGGCGCAGCTCGGTTCGTAGGGAACACAAACCACAGCCTGTAATAACCAGCAGCTCCCTGTTCAGCCTTCATACAACACAGGAGGAGTCAACCTGCGCCCCCTGCTGGTCATCCGACACAACTACATCAACCATCTGAGCGTCAGACTGAACTTTTAGTTCTTTGCAAAGATCCGGATCTTTTCACGCAACCAAGCGGTTCTTCTTTCTTTAAATGGATGTTTTTGACCGGCTTTGTGGTGCATTGGGTGGATCAAATAGTTTCTAAGTTATTTTCACATCAGAGGACAGATTTTAATAATGAGTCATGGGATTTCATGTTCAACCTCATTAGTCTAAGTCTGTTCCACCATAAATCATTTTTATGCATCTGCCTTTCCCGCTGGTTTTTAACACAGCCTATAAATACATGTTTCATCCTGTCCACAGTAAACACGTCAACCTTCATCTTTTTAAGGATTTATTTAACCCTTTATGCCCACATCTGACATCTTTCAGCAGGGTTACCAATCTACTCGCTCTGGAGAGCAGAGTTCGCTGCTTTTATATGTCTTGACCAAAGTTTCCAGAAGCAGAGAAAAGTCGCTACATTTGGAGCTAGGTGCTTTTTTAATTAAAAGTTTTAGAGGGGTCTGAAAAATTGCTAAATAGAGCGACTAAAGCGCTAAGTTGGCAACACTGCTCTTCGCATTGTTTTCAAATGGTTTGCTGCTGCCTGTTTGGACCTTTCTGAACATGTGCAGCAAATGGACTGATCCAATATGGTGGACACTGAAGGGGGGGGGGGGCTGAGACAAACTTAATATTATCAGTGTTCTGATGGCATTTTAACGAAAGTATTTTTATTAAAAATATAAATAATGTGCACAAATGAGTAAGGCTGGGTATTTTCATCAAAGTCCTGAATCGATTCGATTTGATTCATACAGTTCTAAATTGATTAATTTCGATTCAATCTGTTTTTACAATAATAAAAGTGGTTCAACTGTGTTTCAAAATATTCATGTATTTTATTTTTTTCCTGTCAGATTATACACAAAGTGCAAACTTGTAAATCAGACAGCTTACACATGTGATTTGAACAAAACCGTCTCATAAGTGCAAACTTGTAAATCAGACAGCTTA